CGCTTGATAGACTATAAACCCACGTATTGGTCTAATTTCTTATTCGAGTCTATTGCTAATTATCCCTGGCAGACCCCGAAAGGATGGAAACGGTACGTAAAGCGCCGCCCAAGCTGGAGGGATAACAAGCCAAAAGCAGTCAACGGAACTCCAAACACCTCCACCAGCGCGGTGAGTGTATCACTTTGTCGCTTAGGTGACTGTGCACTCTGTGGCAAGTATTATTGCTTTAAATAGACCTGAAATTATATCTATGCTGAAATGTTCTCGTTCGTGTATAGAATTATTGTCAAGATGATAGATATACCCACTGATAATGTTAACACCTCGCTACGGCTCAGCATACCAAGCGATAGGCCCGGAAGTTGATACTTGCTTATTATCGGTGAAAACGTAAGGAACAATCTTTGCGTATGCCTCGTTGGCCTGAGCTATGTATTTTTGACGACTTATATTCTCCTCTAATGATCTCGCTTTCAATCCGTTTTCGGCATTAAATACTTATTCTCCCGTACGTGTTCCTATGATGCTAACAACAGTTAGAGATAGAGGACTGCCATCTATCAATAGACGGCGATGATAGTAGTAACCCCCGGGAGGATGGACTAAAATGTGAGGATGCGCCAAGATCGCCCATTCTCAATGCACAGACTGAAAGAGTGAAACGCAATGCATCCATAACGTCGCGGGGTGTATCTGATATAGGCATCAGCATCACTACTTCTGAGGAGAAGGACTCTCAGCTGTCTGTTTCAGATCAGGGACATACTATGTCCGACAACATACACGAGTCTGAGTAAGTGTGGTGTGTAGCTGATGATATGTGAAGGTGGAGGCTCGAACAACAACAAGTCCGTCTGTATGTATAACGCTCAGTCGTGATTTCGCGATTTAAACTCAGCAGAGAGTGGTGTTACGTGATTGTGCTACCCTGCATTCGACAACATAGTTCGATTGCTGACGAAGATATGTACATACGAAGTTGCGAGTAAAACACACCAGGTTTGACGGGCCTTCCAAATACATGTGGGCACACTACCATAGATGGTCAGATACGTATGGATACTCTATATTAAATGTACCAATCTTTTTCGTTACACAAGCTCCATTTGGTTCAGTCACAAAGTATCAAATCATAGCCACGTACACCGCCGAGGGAGCATCTCTCTTCTTCCGGCCCAGTATGTGGCTCTTGTTCTTGGTGAAGGCGTGATTTGAGCGTAACGATTGTTGAGTGAGCAGTGTGTGGAGATTGTATTGTGAAAATATAGATATAGATCGAGATTGCAACAAAAACGAGGTCTGCGCACACAACCAATTGCCTCTGTTTATTTGTATACCTTGTTCACAGTGGCGAGAGGAGGAGTTGCAAAAAGAAGCAGCTTAGTACAATTAGCAAAGACAGTAAGAGGCGGAGTGCAAAGCCCCACCCGCACCAAACTATGTGTCTGACAGAAGGCCCACCCGATAAGAATTTGGCTGGATACAACTTGATCGAAAAAGGTACTCGCTCACTATATATATTTCACTCGCTCACTATTTATGTTTTCACTCGCTCGTTTAAACTATTATGTTTATTCCGGGAAGTGAATTTGCGTACTTCGCTTATCGGCAGCTTATGGGTGTTAATACTTGTTCATGTCCGCTCGTGAGTATTCACTTCAAGTATTCTGATTTCTTGTGCGAGTTTGTAGATCAACAGACAGTGTGTGGGTTGCTATATGTGTAACGTTATGATATGTCTAATATATGCTTTGAAACTGTCGATATCCTTTCCACTAATTTGACTTTCCCGTGTGTCGCATTCATTCGTGTATATTTTAGTTGTGCGTGATGGCCTATATGTTTATATACAACACTCCATGCGGTGTAGTATTGCTTTGCGAATAAATTGCCAGTAGGTACCTGTGATAGATGAGCAATACCTGCATCACTTTCATGACACTCATCCACCAGAACGAAATTTCAAATGCAGAAAAAGGATCTCGTAAGCGCAGTACCGTGTTTGATAAGCTGATGATGCGCAAAGGACCCGACTCGGCTTCCTCCCCGGGTACATCGTCGTACGCGGAAGGTACATTTGAGGTGAGTTAGTGACCGACCCCATCTGCTACATCTAGTTCGGTTTAGATGTTTTAGTCATTCGTAACGTGAAGTGATGCTCGTGATATGCCTTCAACTACAGTAGTAGAACCTTAAACCCGTTGAAGGAATATCATTTGTGTCTAGAAAGTTATATATCTGACTATCTGATTTACAGTGTGATTGAATATCCTCATGTGAGTGTGTCGCATGGACATTGTTTGAGGCAGCGTCCCGGGTGCATTCAAACTACACTTGCCTATGTAGAGGAAGGTGTCAAGATCTATTGTACTTTTTGCGCGGCGATACCTATGATGGTACTTGCCTTCGAAGAGGATGGTACTCAATTTTTCCAGGATAAATAAATCCAGGAAAAAGATAGTGTCGTGAGTGTGCAAGTATACCTTCGCTAAATAGATTGAGACCATGCTCTCATACATACTCTCCCACACTATGGTCTTTGCTTTTTACACATCATGCGCAACACACACACCTGCATACAAGAAATACCACCCAAGTACACAGTCGTACATACTGTAGTGAATGATGGTACATGCACATAGCGACTCGTCCTCAAGTGTAAGCTTTTCTCTTATACAACAGGAGTTGCTTCCCAAACTTTTAAGGAGAGCAGATGTTACAGGCACTGACGGATCGATGAATCAAGCCCGTGAGTTCATGCGCGACACACTCTACAGTATTCAAGACCACGTGTTCTCCCTCTCCATCGAAGATGACGCTGAGATGCGTACCTGGGGTCGGGAGAAAATCGCACCTGAGCAGGTGAGCGTACACTCACACATATGTATATATGGTATATGTATACTCTTGTTTGGTATTAGTATATAAACAGCACCATATATTACCCCTATGTTACATTATGCTGGAATGCGCTCTTTGGGGCGGAAGTTACCACCAATAAGAGTGGTCTGTTGGCTGACTTATGATGTGCGATCTAGTGGTAATACGCACTACCTATATGCCAGGGAATGTCATGTTTGTGGGAATATCATGTTTGTTTATCGCTGTGCGTTATCGATACGAAGACCGGTCGCCCGTGTATGAGTGTAAGGGAGTGCACTGATCGAGATTGGGGTGGAGTTACATCATGTGTTATACTATTGACAAGTGTAGCATGCGATGGTGAGCGTCGTAGCATTGAGTGTATGCAATTATTGGGTATCACGACCGTGCCTTATTCCAATAATCGACAGCTCGAGTGAGCTTTGGTAAGGTAGCCTCGTGGGTAGATGTGGAGAGACTGTTGCTAGAGCCCATCGTCCGCTAACGCTAGCAATCCTCAGGAGAGAACAATATACCTGCGAAACGACCGATATACAGTGCGATTTGCCTCCTTCAATTTTTGCTGTATGCACTCTCTTCAACGGAAATCATGTTTGATACACTTTCAGGTTATATATCAGCTGAAAGACTGGGACAGAAGGCTGAGAGCGCTCGACGCCGCGGTTCACGCGTACGACCAGATCCGAGCCAATTCCGAAGTGCGTAATTGTCGTTTTGCCGTATAAACTTTGAACCTTGACTATTCTAGATTTAGCTACATACCTAGATTGATGGTTTGTATTTTTGTGTATGGTATTGGTGAGTATCGCGTGGCATGTTACGATTAAATCTGACCAGGTATTGTTTATCTCGTTATGTTTTTGCAGGACACACTCTCGTGCGACGATTGTATGGCGCGAACCCTCGAAGTCAAATATCTCAAAGATCTGCTGCAGACCACGTTTGACGATAGGGACGAGGTCAGTAATCCACTAAACAAGTGTGAGCTCTATGAAAGTTCAAATACGGAGTATGTTTCTTGAAAGAGACGTGCTCTTTACCTACATGCAATTTGTGCAAGTTGTAATCGTGACCAGGTGCGGCAATCAGGATGAACTGCCTGTCACTTTTTGCGATTATTTTGATATTTTATGTACATAACTGTACATGTACACAGGGCGCCAAGGAAGCTCACTTATATTTCATGTATACAATGCAATCGATGAATGCCACCCTATACGCGCTTTTTGCGCTACGCGGCAACTTGTGGGTCCGTTTAAGCTTCAATAATCCAGCCGTATAGTCAAATGCTTGTCTTAGAGTCCAATGCGAAACAACAACTCATAGAGTAGGCCGCATCGCAATTACGACAGTCATTCTGGAGTTAAAAATGCGTCGAGATTCAATACGTACCGCCGAATTCTACAGCATGTGTACGAATGTCGAATCCATATGAATGTTTATCAGAAACATACGTACAAATTGTAGCAGAGAAATTTCTCACAACATCTATCTCCCCAAAATCAATAGGGAAACAACCAGAATTATTTCAATTCGTTTCACACTTCAATTAGCAGGCTTCAATGCGTGAACCTGGCATTCAAAAGAATGTCTATGTATGTGCATACACTAACTACTACACCTCACAGCTCGACCGTATGAAGGAACATCAGGCCAGTCGCTTACGCTCACAAGAAGATCAGATTACACAACTTCGAGCACAATTAGCCAAGGCCAATTTTGACCTCAAGCAACTACGCCCTTCGTCAACGAAGACAGATACGACGCAGGTACGAAACGAATTCAATTGACATCTATTTGGGCAGAAAATGTGCCTTTGAGTGTATCGGTATCAGCACTTCTATTCCATAGGGTATGCATATCCCCATTCATATATCTATTATCCACGCCAGGATGTTCTAGTTGAATGTTGTGCTCTTTATTATACCTTGAGATTTACAATGTGAGTAGTTTCCAACCACGAGTATACTTGCGTAGTTGCTGACTACGCCATACAAAATCCCGTCGATAAGTCGAATATCTACAAGGGTCGATGAAACTTGCAATATATGCATAATCTGCGAGTCTAGTTTTGTACAGTGTAGTTCGCAGTTTACACAGCCAATACATGTCAATTTTCACTCTCGCGACTTATATCATACGCTGATCAACGCTCGCCTTCTTTCTTTACCGACAACGCAGAAACCATGTAGCAGCGAGCAGGCCGGAGATATGCATAGTTCCGACGTCGTTCTCACCGCGGCAGGTCATGTTTGATATTTTGGCTTATCCGATTTTCAACACACACGTGTTGTCTGCGATTAAAGTACTGCAGGTCTACATATATAAACTGTATGAAAGTCTCAGTGTGATCTTTAAAAGTCTCGTTGAGGCAACCCACACTCCGATTTCAAATTCAATCGAATAAACTCGAATCGATTAAATGCTGACGTCCTCGCGCATGGTCGGAACAGCGCATGGTCAGAACAGTTCATGTCTTCTGCTTAAGCAAGCCTCCTACACACAAATCGTGCTCGGTGACTGAAGTAAAACTTAGATTTCCACCGGAACATTTAATTACTCGATAGGCTCGTATTGAACTCGTATGTTTGCTAAACTCGCAACTCGAAACATATTTAGTTGAGAGGCTTGATAAGAAATACGGTGCACTATGCGGTGAATTGTCCGTGCTAATTAACTCGAACTCACTCCTTCGCTTTTGATTGAGGATTTCAAATACGTAAGCTCGTAATTTCAATTTCGCTTGCAATTTCAATTTAATGCGCTTTTCAATAGTGACTCCACTATATATATTCATAAACTGTAGGTACGTATTGTAATAAATTCCACAATTTCGTAGAAGCTCGGGGTAGCCTAAATAATAGTCGGAATGAGATGCAAATCCTTTTTCGTAAAGTCACGTGTATGTTCAGGGGATGCATGGTATTCTACACAGGGAGTGCATGGCATTCTACAAAGGGAGTGCATGGCATTCTACACAGGGGGTGCATGGCATTCTACACCTTTATCAACATGGTCATGTATTGTTATTTTTAAAAAAGGATATCAAACGTTAACTACAAGATGAATATAGAAGAAACAATCCTGCCGCCATATGAAAATGAACCGGATTAAGCGACAGTGACAATGTCTACCGGCAGTACATGATACATAATAAATCGTGTGAATAAATGCACCTATCTAGAGAGCAATATGCGGAATATTCTGTTTGAAAATACACTGCTCAGCCTCTGGCCCCTCTGCCCTCTAATAATTATTGATATCTCTTGTGTGACTAAAATACAGTATTTTTTACACTCTGTAAATATGCAGTCTATTTAGTATTTACACTCATACAGTGTCTACACTCTACACTCTACAGTCTAGACTCTACAGTCATATAAATACACTCGACACACATACATAGCCTCCTGAAATAATTTTTATAAAAGCATATATTCTATAGTTTCTATTTGATAGAAATACTATACATAAATAGACAGAGACTCGAGAGTCAGAGAGACGTGCTGCAATTGTGAGTATAAAAAATAAAACAAAAATAAAACAAACAAAAAAGCGTAACTCGAGTTTAGACCAATGATAGATTCGTTTCCTTGCAACAGGACTCTTGGACTTCGTTTCATTGGATTATTTTCCCAACATATCTTACTATTACTCCTGCAGTATCGGAATAAATAACGTACAATTCTAAATTTTAGGGCTAAAGCCTATAGGCGGGTTATTGCCAATTGGGTATGTATTATACGCTTGAACAATCAGTAAATGTATCACAGTTTAGTGTTTACGTATAAATTTTGGACTACATTTACTCTCGCTGCTTTTCATTCCGCGATATGTATGTAAATTCTTGTGATTTTGTCCGATAAGGATATTTCTTCATCTTTATATCATTAGGATTTCGGACCAGTCCTGCTATGACCAGAAGCTGTGATACTGTGACGACATATCCTATTCGACTAAGATATACATTCCTGTAGAATAACCATAAGACGAAGTTGTCAACTTATCGAACGCTCACACGCATCCCAAACACGTCTGAATCAACCTGAAAATTAAAATCGGTGTTACAGTCCGACAATATTTGATACCACTAGACTGTAGTAGCGCTCTCAAGGTTAGTTGTCGGTGTAATTCGCCACGAGTGCGTCCTGAATGCTATCCAAAGATTATTGATATTCGCCACTCGAGTGTTGCGTTTTGTTAGACATCAAGCTTCATTATATTTCGCACCCTATGATCTACCCCACGAAGCTATTGTGAGTACTCGAATATATCTATTTTGAGGCGTACTCAATACTAGAGGCTGCACCTGCATAACTCATGGTGCGTGCCTAGTCTCATTACAAAGCTGATTGTATAAGTTACTTGTCCAACTAGAATTTTTCAACTTCTAGTTGTCAACCACATGGTTTGAAGTTTCATGCAGTTGTTGTATGCTTTCTATTTGTTAGTGATAGTGCACATCAATCATCTAGTAGAACCACTAACGACTTCGGGTATCTTGACCACGATCAGAACCTTCCTATCTTGAATGACTCTTGTACTCATATTTCTATTGATAGGTGTTCAATCATATAACACCGAAAGTAGATATACATATCAATCGAATTATTGCCGTTCCAGTCGCCCATTTCCAATGTTGCCTATTTCGCGAGCTGGGGTGACGTTTATTCGTATACTCAGTTCGTACTCGATGTTTTCAATATAAAAACATAACTACCACTTAAAGTACAACGCCTGCTTTTATTTCTCTTTCGCCATCCTCAGTTGACAAAAACCTGCTATAGCCACCAAATCCCAAAACAAAAATAGCAATATGGTCCGTGAAGCATCAGCTACGGCGCGCAGTTTCATAGCAGCCACTAACAATGAGGCCACAAAACAGAGTACACTCTCAACACCCAGCAGGAGAAATCGGGCTGTGAGTGTGAACAATCAAACTATCGGTAAGTTACTGATAATTAAAGGCAAGAAGGCAAAAGTAGAATTTGATGCTTCACTGTTAACAAGAGAACATACATATAGGTATCCGTAGGAAAATAATTATTAATATATAT